AAATGGAAATTCAGGTCCATTTTTAGTTTTCTGAGAAAATTCAATACTGTTTTCCATAATGGTTGTACCAGACTGCAATCCCACCAATAGTGAACTAGGGCCTCCTTTTCCCCACAACCTCTCCAACATTTGTTGTTGCTTTGTTTATGATAGCCATCCTGACTGGTGTAAAGTGGTATCTCATTGTGGTTTTAATTTGCATCTCTCTGATAGCTGCCTTTTGACCCAGCAATTCCACTGCTAGGATTATATCCTAAGAACCCTGAAACATAAATCCAAAAGAACCTATGCACCCCAATGTTCACAGCAGCACAATTTACAATAGCCAAGAGTTGGAAGCAACCTTGGTGCCCATCCCATCAGTAAATGAATGGATCCAAAAACTATGGTACATTTACACAATGGAATTCTATGCAGCAGAAAGAAAGAAAGAACTCCTACCCTTTGCAACCACATGGATGGAACTGGAAAGCATTATGCTGAGTGAAATAAGCCAGGTGTTGAAAGACAAATACCATATGATCTCACCTTTAACAGGAAGCTAAACAACAACAGACAAGCAAGCAAAATAAAAACAAAGACACTGAAATAGAGAACGGGGGACAGCAACCTGAGGGGAGAGGGGAGGGAATTTCAGGGGAAAAAGCAGAGGGATTTACAGGAACTAGTATAAAGGACACATGGACGACAGCTAAGGGGGATGCAAACAGGAGGGAGGTGGGGAGCGTGGGGGGGCTGGGAAGGAAGTAAAAGGCAGAAAACTGTACTTGAAAAGTAATTAAATAAAAATAAATAAATAAATAAAATGGAAATTCAGAATATTTTACATTAATTTCATGACAATCATGTATTTACATAGGAACATGCAAATAATATAATGGTATGGGGAATATTAGAACATAAAATTAGGAAAGATATCTATGTTAAAACAAAGGATCTTCTCAAAAGTTGTACAGAGAATATCTTCTACCGTATATTATTATATGCAGTTCAAGTCCTGACATTAATAAACTGTGCAGTATTAGGCAACAAAAATCTTTATTTATAGCTTAGCTTTGCTGAAAAACTAAAGTTTTTCAAGTTCTTAAATTATAAGTATAAATTTGAAATGCTATTTTTCCTGTAGTCATAATAATATAAAACATGAAATTATTATTTGAACCATATGATCTTTCAAGAAATTAAAAGAAGTCTAAAATATGGCTTGATTCAAAGAACTCTTAATCTATCTTTTTTATGACAAAATTTTGTATTAAAGGTTCTGATAAGCATTATTTCAACTGCGTTAAGAATATTAATGCTAAAAAAATGAATGGACACCACTGTCTCCCTAACATGTTATTTATATAGCTGTGGGTGAGTACAGTTGTAGGATAATTGTAGCTAACTCTAAGGTAGACCCAAACAGGATAGTGTTGGGTGAGATGTGGATAGAGAGTAGGATTGTTTGTGATTATTTTACAGACTTTGAACAAGGTGGTAGTGAAGAATAACAGGAGCAAGTATCTTTGCCTTAAGAACTCTCTAATCAGGGTAGAAAGTAAACCAAGATTCAGCAGTAAGTTCTCTGTAAAATATATGAAGGTTTTTGTTGTAAAAATGACTTTTAATGATGCCACACTGAAGCTTAGAAGAAATGTGTACATTTCTGTCTTACTTTTTAAAAATTCTGGTGTAGTTCATATATAATGGTATAGTCATCTGTTGCCCTACATGGAGTGAGATTAGGGTCATAAAGGCAAGAAAACCCTCCTTCCTGATCATCTACTTCTGGTGCTTTTTTGACTACTAACAGTAAACTAAGACCTTTTCACATATTATAATACATATATCACTGGAAAAATAATGTCTTTTTTCACAATGCACTGACATTTAAAAATAAAGTGCTGATCTTGGACTTATAAGTATTTCAATATAACTCAAACTTTATATCATATTCATAAGCCACATTACTTTGGGGCAGATTATTCATTGACTGAAGCCTGAGTACATTCTATTAGAAACTAGAAGTGATAATAGTTGACTATCCAACTTTAAAGGGTTACTGTGAAAATGAATGTGAAGCACAGACAATGGGGGCGACTGGCTATGGGAGTGAGGGAGGACAGGGCAGGGGAGAGCAATGGGGAAAAAGATGGGACGACTGTAACTGAACAACAATAAAAAATAAATTTAAAAACTTTTATAATAAAAATTACTATAAAATTTTATAGTTTAAAAAAAGAAAATAAAGGAAAGCGCTCATAACATTGCTTTATAAACTGCAGGGTTTTCTCTTATTTTTTATTAGTTGAAATTAGTTTAGTTGAGTGTTTTCCAATAAAAAAGTAGAATATGGCCAGCTGTCCAAGCTTGCAGTCCAGATTTTCAAATAATCACCACTTTTGGACCTGAGACACTCCATGAACTCACAAATCTGACCACATAGGGATGAGTGTTATGGGTCCCAAGATAGCAAACAACAACAAACAACCCTAAGGTTTATTCACAGATGGGCAGATTCAGCATGTTAGAGTGTGAGTGGACAAGATGCATCTTTGTAATAGGCATCTTCACATGCCCGGTTTTGTTTTTGGTAGCTAAAATTTATAGCATACCAGATTTTTCTGATAAGCACAGATGAAATATTTGGGGTCATTACTGATAAAATTTAGTGCACTTAAACAAGGGGTGTTAACTACAGCTTGCTTCTTTGGGTCCCTTGTGGTGAAGTGAGAAGTACTGAATATTTTTGTGTCCGTGAACTAGTTGTACCAACTTGCTTGTTGCAACCTTCCCTCTGACATCTGAAATGAATGAAGGCTTCTGGAAATCTGTGAGAAGGGTCAGTGGAAAACAGAGGAAATGATAAATGGTATGTACATAAAAGTTGCACAGGAAATGGGATAAATGGAAGTTCTGCAGGATTTATAGAGAGCAAACTGAGTATTCTTGTGACATATTTTACTGTATGATTAAACAAAAACTACTTTATAATCTGATGTAAACTTTGCAAAAACAGTTAGTAAAAACAAAGATGAGTATAATGGAAGATTAACTAGTGAATTCTAAGATCTCAAAAGTTGATGAGTATATAATTAAACAAATTGTATTGTGATGTTTAGGATGTGATTCACTATGTGAATCACAGTATCACCAATCACGTAAAACAAACAAAAAAATAAATTAAAGACACTTGAAATATTAATAGTTACTTTTTTAAAAGTTCCAAAATAGTTGTCATATTTACATAAATATAATAAAATTATTACTTAGGTATATTTTTATATAGATTAAATGACCTTTTTTTTTTAATTAAATCTGGTCATTTTGAAATTTAAGTTCTCTTATGAATGTATTGAAGTGAAGCTATTGATATTGATTTGTCTCCATTAGCAGATTTTTTCTGACTTTAAATATTTTTTTAAAAATTTTCAATTAAACTTGACATACATTATTATCTTAATTTTAAGTGTACAACCCAGTGACCTGATATTATATCAATTACTAAGTGATCACCCAATAAATATAGTACCCATACATCATACAAAGTTATTACAATATTATTGACAAGATTCCCTATTCTGTAATTCACATCCCTGTGAATATTTTGTAGCTATCAGTTTCTACTTCTTAATCCCTTTATCTTTTCTACCCAGCACCTCAAATCCTCTCCCATCTGGCAACGATCAAAAGATCCTCTGTGTCTGTAAATCTGCTTCTGTTCTCCTTACTCATTTATTTTGTTTTGTCTATATTCCACATATAAGTAAAATCATATTGCATTTGTTTTTTTCTCTCTGACGTCATTCAGCAAAATACATTCTAGGTCCATCCATGTTGTTGCAGAAGGCAAGATATTATTCCTTCTTATGGCTGTGACATATACGTAGCATTTCTTTATGCATTCATCTATCCATGGACACTCAGGTTGCTTTTATATGTTGGCTATTATAAATAATTCTGCAATGAACATATGGAGATATATGTCTTTTCAACTTGGTGCTTTGGATTTCTTTTGATAAATACCCAGAAGTGGAAATTCTGGGTCCTTCTTTTCCTTATGTTAAATATATAGCCTTTTCTTTCTTCTTTTCTTTTTTCTTTCCTTTTATTCCCTTTCCTTTTTTCCTTTTCTTTCTTTCTTTCTTTCTTTCTTTCTTTCTTTCTTTCTTTCTTTCTTTCTTTCTTTCTCTCTTTCTCTCATTCTTTCTTTTTTATTATTCTTCAAGTACAGTTGTCTCCATCTCCTCCTCAACATCCCCCTCCACTTGCAGCCATCCTGACCCCTTACCCTCAACCCTAACCCCTTTTGGATTTGTCTAGTTGTTTTTTATACATGTACCTTGACAACCATTTCCCCTTCCCCCCATTCCCTCCCACCTCCCCTCTGGTTACTATCATTTTGTTCTTTATTTCAATGACTTTGGTTATATTTTGCTAGCTTGTTTATTTTGTTGATTAGATTCTACTTATAGGTGAGACAATTCCTCAGAAAACCAAAAATGAAACTGCCTTTTGATCCAGCAATTCCATTGCTGGGACTGTACCCTAAGAACCCTGAAACATCAATTCAAAAGAACCTATGCACCCCAATGTTTGTAGCAGCGCAATTTACAATAGCCAAGTGCTGGAAGCAACCTAGGTGCCCATTAGCAAATAAGTGGATCAGAAAACTGTGGTACATTTATGTAATGGAATACCACACAGCAGAAAGATGGAGCTCCTACCCTTTGTGACAACATAGATGGACCTGGAGAGCATTATGCCAAGTGAAATATATATAGCCTTTGTTTTAAAGTCATTTTTTTCTGGCATAAGCATTGCAACCCCAGCTTTTAGTTATCTGTTTGCTTGTTTTCTTTTTATGAAATATTATTTATTTTGAAAGAGGAGCTAAAGAGGTTTAATAGCTCTTCCTTATTTATTTAATTTCCTGAAAAAATGCATTGAGAATTAATTTGACAAGATGAATATAACAAATGAAAAAGGAAGAAATAGAAATCCACCCAATTCTTGAATCATGGGTTGAGTCTTAGAACATGGTTTGATCTTGCACTTTTTTTCATTGGTTCTGTTTTCGCATTTACTATATTCTCATCAGCTGTATTGTATCTCTCTATTTTCATTGGATTCTCTTTCATTCTGTGGGGTTCATTCATCTGTTGCCTTCTAGAAATTTTGTTTGAGTGAGAGACCTGAGATAATTTAGCTAAGTATATTTGGCGTTCATCCTTGATCTTTTGGTAAGCCTTTGATTCTTCTTCCAGTTTAAGTAAATAGCATTTCACTTGATGTTCAAGATGCCTTCTTTCTCTTTCTAGCTTTTCAAGTAATGCAACTGAGGATTTTGCTGGCATTTTCTCATAGACACAAATAGAACATAGTCTATCTGAAGAATCGGCATGTAGTTTTTCCCATTTCTCTTTGAGAGTAACTATTTGCTTTTTTAGTTTATCATTCACTTCAAGTTGTATCTCATAACGGGTTTTCCATTCATTGCCTATATTAGCAATAGTGAGTTTGGCTTTCAGTTCCATTATTTTACATCTTAGTTCAGTTATTGAGAGTTGTATTAAGTCTTTCATATGGAGTTCTTCCAGCAACTCTGACTTCAGTGCTTCAATGCTCATTCCTTCAAAGTTGTCACCTCTTTCATCCCCCATAGTGTCAGGTCAGAGATTTCCCCAAGCCCTTCCCCTCAGCAACTCGTAGAGCAGGAACCTGAAGGAGCACCCAACACTGTCTAGATAAGGTGTTGTCATGAGCTGTTACCACGGAGAACTGAATTCTGGAATTCTAAGTTGAAGTCCCCTCAGCCAGCACTTTGTATATGTCATAACATTGCCTCTTGTTTCCATTGTTTTTTTTTTTAGATGACTGGTTATATATATATATATATATTTTTTTATTTTAAAAGATTTCTTAAATTTATTTTTAGAGAGAGGAAGTGGGGGAGAAAGGGAGAGAAACATCAATGTGTGGTTGCCTCTCACACATCCCCTACTGGGGACCTGGCCTGCAACCCAGGCATATGCCATGACTAGGAATCGAATTGGTGACCCTTTGGTTTGCAGGCCAGTGCTCAATCCACTGAGACACACCAGCCAGGGCTATTCTTTATTTTTTTAATTATAACTTGCATTCTATATTATTTTGTATTAGTTTTGGCTGTACAGCAGAGTGGTTAGACAATCATATACTTTACAAAGTATTCTCCCTGATATTTCCAGTACCCACCTGGCACCATAAATAGTTATTAAAATATTGTTGACTATTAATATATTCCCTATGCTATCTTTTACATCCTTGTGGCCACTTGACAACTACCCACCTGTATTTTTTTTAATCCTCACCTGAGGATATACTTATTGATTTTGAAGAGAAAGGAATAAGGAGAGAGAAAAAAAGAGAGAAACATCAATGTGAGAGAGACACATTGATGGATTGCCTTCCATATATACCCTGACTGGGGATCAAACCTACAACGTTGGTATGTGCTCTGACCAGGGATTGAACCCAAAATCTTTTGCTGTATGACACTATGATCCAAACAACTGAGCCACCTGGCCAGGACCCACTTTGTACTTCTTAATCTCCTCACCTTCCCCATCCAGTCCCCCAACCCTCATCTAATCTGCAGCAACTACCACTCTGCTCTCTGCCTCTATGTGTATATTTCTGTTTTGTCCATTCATTTATATTGTTCACTAGCTCCCACATATAAGTGAAATCATATGGTATTTGTCTTTCTCTGTCTGGGTTATTTCACTTAGTATAATGCCCTGTAGGTTCATCTATGCTGTCACAAATTGTAAGATTTTATTCTTTTTTTATGGCATTGTATAATTGTTTATTTACCAGAACTATTTTCATCCACTCCTCTACTGATGGGCACTTGGGTTGCTTCTACTTGTCTCCACTGTTTCTGATGAGAAGTCAGCTGTTAATCTTTTTGTAGTTCCTTTGCATATTACTTGTAATTTTTCTCCTGTTTTCAAGTTTTTCTTTTTGGCTTTGGATTTTGACAGTTTGATTAATATCTCTCTAGTTGTGAATATCATTGTGATTGCTCTTGGAATTCACTGAACTTCTTGGATACATAAAGTTTTTCATCTACTTTGAGAAATTTCACCCATCATTCTTCCAATACTTGTTATGTTCTTTTTTCCTCCTTTCCTCTTCTGGCATGACCATCATGCATATGTGGTGTGTTAGACGCTGTCTCACAGGCCTCTGAGATTATTCACTTTTGCATTCTGTTCTTTAGACTGAGTACTCTCTATTAATCTATGTTTTTAAACTTTTTTAAAGATTGTTTTAGTGTTGTTCAATTACAGGTGTCCCCATTTTTCTTCTATTACTCTCCCCTGTCTTACCCACCCCCCCATCTCCCACATTCAATCATCTCCACCCTGTTGTCTTTGTCCATGGGTCCTTTATAAACATTCCTTTCTTGACCCTTGCCCTTTTTTCCCCTGTTATCCCCTTCTCCTACCCCTTCCCCCCTGGTCACCGTCAGTTTGTTATTTAGTTCCATGTCTCTGGTATTATTGATCTACTTTTGGGTTTGCTGATTTTTTTTTTTGCTTCTAGCAGCTCAAATCTGCTGTTGAACCCCTTGAGTAAATGTTTCATTTCAGTTTTTGTACCATTTAACTATAGAATTTCCACTACTTTCTATAATTTGTATTTCTTTATTAATAATCCCTATATGATGAATCATTGTCATTAAACATTTCTTTAATTATTTCTACATGGTTTCTTTTAGTTATTTGAACATATTTACAATAGCTTATTTGAAATCTTTATGTACTTTATCTATCATCTAGGCTTTCCCAGAAACAATGTATATGAGATGTTTTCTCCTTTGTATGGGCTACATCTTGTTTCTTTGCTTTTAAATATCTATTTATTTACTTATTTGTTTGTTTATTTATTTATTGTAATGATGTGCTTGGACTAATTATGTAGTGTCTATTTACCCTGCAGTGTGTGACAACTGGAATCTCTGCTCAGTTTCTATAAAATTCTTGTTCTTATATTTAAGCCTAGCTACCTATTGTTCCTTCACCCTTGGCTCTTCAAAGCTGGCACCGTGTATTGTTACTATGGTATTATTGACTATATTACCTATGCTGTACATTTATTTCTCCCTTGATCCTTGGGTTATTTTGAAGTATATTTTATAATTTTAAAAGAGAGATTTCCTATTATCTTTTTGATACTGATTTCTAGCAAAATTTTACTGTGGTCTAATAATATACTCTGTTTGGTTTTGGTCCTTTGAAGTGTGAGACTGGCTTCAGGACTCCTGGTAAGGATGGCAGCATAACAGATAAATATACCTCACCTCCTCACACAATCACATCAAAGTGAAAACTAAACTATAAAACAACCATCATTCAGAAATGTCAGTGACTGTGCTGAATAAAAGTCCTATAACTATGGAATTAAAGAAGAACCCAAATTGAGACTGGTAGGAAGGGTGGAGACACAGAATGAGCTGGTCCCAAGCCCACATGTGGCAGATACAAACTGGGAGACATATCTCAGGTGTAACAATTCCCAGTCCCACACCAGGCCTGCCAGCCCAGGGTTTGAGTGCCAGGAAGATAAACCTCCATAATTTCTGGCTGTAAAAACCAGCAGGTATTAGGGCTGAGAAAGAAAAAAATTGCTGGACTCCCTGGCAGTTCCTCTTCAAAGGTCCATGCATAGGATTACTCAGATCTGAGTAATCTGGAGCTCATGCACCTGATCTGATCTCCAGCATAGGGACAGCATATTGAAAAGCATTAGAGACATACGGAGAAGAACTGAACTGTCCAGCATCAGGGCGAGAGGTGAAGGTCAACTTTCTCCCAGAGGTGTTGGCAGAGGCCACTGTTCCTTTCCTAAGTCCTTCCCACCACAGAGCTCGCAGGTGGGAAACATATCTGAGACTCCATCAACCTGGCTCACACTATCCGCCCCATGCTGGTGATTCCCTGAGGCCCTGCCCCACCTAACTTTCAGGCTCATCCAAGCTATTCCCAGTGGCTTTTCCATTGAAATTGCTTGTCTTGGCCCATGCTTTAGATTTTTCTAAATTTTCTCAAATAAGTAGCACCTGACTTCAAAGATCCCAGTACTTCTCACCAAGTTGCCTCAGGCCCTGCACTAGCAGCAGCTGGCCTTGGTTCTCAAATTGGTCTTGCCCAGGCACCTCCAAGCCCACCACAAACAGCAGCAGATCACTTTGTAGCTTGTGTTGTGTGAGTTTAGACAGAATGCAGGAAGTGGCTGACACTGGATGTGCCAACAATCAAAGCTCAGCTACAATAAGAAGGTGTACATAGCACAAATGGGAGGTACACCATGAGTGCCCTGCTTAAGTAATAGGGGGACTGAGCCACTGAACTGTACAAGACGCCTACTATATTTGGCCAGTCTACCAAGCCGGGGAAACAACCAACTCTATATATTACATAGAAATAAACACAGGGAGGCTGTCTAAAGGAGGACAAAAAGAAACATGTCCCAAGTGAAAGAATATAACAAAACTCAAGCAAAAGAGCTAAAAAAATGAAAAGAAGCAAGCTACTAGATGCAGAGTTCAAAACACTGGTTATAGGGACATTGAAGGAACTTAGTGAAAACTTCAAGCATTAAAAATGCAGTCATAAATTAAAGATACACTAATTAAAATAAAGAACAATTTAATGGGAATCAACAATAGAATGGATGAAGCCAAGAATAAAATCAGCAATTTAGAATATAAGGAAGCAAAAAACAATCAATCAGGACAATAAATAGAAAAAATCCCTAAAAATGATGAAGATAGTGTAAGGAGGCTTTGGTAACACTTCAAGCATACCAACATTCACAGAGTAGGGGTGCTAGAAGAAGAGAGAGAGCAAGAAATTAGAAACCTATTCAAAAAATAATGAAAGAAAAGTTCCCCAACTTGGTGAAGGAAATAGACATATAAGTTCAGCAAGCACAGAGTGTCCCCCAAAAGTGAACCCAAAGAGGTCCGACATCAAGACACATTATAATTAAACTGCCAAAGCTTAATAGCAGAGAGAATTTTAAAAGCAGCAAGAGAAAAGTAGTTAGTTACCTACAAGGAAGCCCCTGTAAGACTGTCAACTAATTTCTCAAGAGAAACTGCAGTCTAGAAGAGATTGGCAAGAAATATTCACAGTGATAAAAAGACAGGATCTACAATGAAGATTACTCTATCCTGAAATGCTATCATTTAGAATTGAAGTACAAAGAAAGAGCTTCCCAGACAAGAAAAAGCTAAGTATTATAGGAAATGTTAAAGGGTCTTCTCTAAGAAGAAAATTAAAAATATGAACAATAAAATGCTAATGAGTATATATCAACAAAATCTAAAAAACAAAATTAAGAGATAGAACAGAAATCAGAGATACAGAGAACATTTTGATGGCTACCAGATGGGATGGGGCCAAAAGATTAGGTGAAAAAGGTAGAAGGATTAGGAAATACAAACTGGTAACTACAGAACAGTCATGGGGATCCAAAGCACAGCACAGGAAATAGAGGAGCCATAGAATATATATGCATGACCCATGGACATGGGTAACAATGTGGAGATTGCCTGAGGGAATAAGGGGTGCTGGTTGGAAAGGGGCAAAAGGGGAAGAGCCAGGACTAC